CAATAGATCCGTTTTGGAAGAAGTGCAGCCAGAGTTCTCCTTGGAGGCTAGCATGACCAAGCTTCGTCTCTCATACTTCGGACATATTGTCAGGAGGGACAGGTCGCTGGAGAAAGATACCATATTTGGTAAGGTGGAGGGTCAGAGGAAAAGAGGAAGACCCCCAACGAGATGGATTGTTCTAGTGGCAGCATCGATGGACTCAAGCGTAGCAACAGTAGTGAGGTTGGTCCGGGATTGGGCAGTATTTTGTTCTGCATTGCATAAGGTCACTATGGGTCAGTACCAACTTGCTGGCACATAACAACAACAACAACATATCTGACAGTGTTTCTCTGCTATTCATAAGGTTTTCTGTGACTAAATATTTGGAAGTAGTTCATCACTCCTTCTTCCTTGTCTGTCTTTGTCTGGGAGCTCTTTTTTAGGAGGCTAGAAATCCACATTCAGATTGCATGCTCTGGAGCAAGGGCCTTGTCTCCTTTCTGCATCATTAGGCCCAGCATTCCTTGCAGATCTCCTTGTGTCTTGGCATCAGTCTTACCCTGAATCTAGGGGTAAAGAGATCCACTCCATTCTTGGCTCTTCTTTCTTAGTGGTAATTGTCATTGTTGTTAATTGCCATCGAGTTGGTTCCGAACCATAGCAACCCTGTATAGCGTTTCCAAGGAGGAGCTGGTGAGCGTGAACCACCAACCTTGCAGTTCAAATGGCTTTGCAGTCCAGCGCATTAACTCACAGAGCCACACCTCTTTTTCTGTTCAATTCTCTTTCCTTTTATATCTCAAAAGGGACTGACATAAGATACAGTCTACTCCTGCAAAATTCTATCATGTGTTCTCCAGCATAATTTCTATCACCAAGGCCATATTTTCCAACTATTGATCTTTCCTCTTTGCTCCCAACCTTTGCATTCCAATCACCAGTAATGAGCAGTACATCTTGATTGCATGTGTGATCAATTTCAGATTAAAGAAGTTGATGGAACTCTTCTATTTCATCCTCACTGGCTTTAGTGGTTGGTTGTTTTATATATGTGTATGTGTGTGTGTGTGTGTATATATATATATATATACATATAAATGTATATACATATATATGTACATATTTATATGGATTCCTGTTGTGGCACTGTGAGCTAATGCATCAGACTTCAAAGTCATTTTAACTGCAAGGTCAGTGTTTCAAGCTCATCAGCTGCTTCTTGGAAACCCTATACAGGGTTGCAATGATTTGGATTCAATTCAACAACACTTGTTGTTGTTGTTGTTGTTAGGTGTCATTGAGTCAGTATCGACTCATAGCGACTTTATGTACAGCAGAACAAAACACTACCCATTCCTGGGCCAACCTCACTACTGTTGCTATGCTTGAGTCCATCGATTCTGCCACTTGGCCAATCCATTTCATTGGGTGTCTTCCTCTTTTTCTCTGAGCCTCCAGCTTACCAAACATGATGTCCTTCTCCAGACACCTGTCCCTCCTGACAATACGTTCAAAGTATGAGAGATGAAGTTTGGCCATCCTGGCATCCAAGGAGCACTCTGGCTGCACTTCCTTCCAAAATGGATCTATTGGTTCTTTTGACAAACCATGGCTTCAATATTCTCCTCCAACACCATAACTCAAAAGCATCAATTCCAAC